ATTTAAAATATATTTTAAATCCTGCACTCGTGTCCCTTTTCATCTTTATTTACATTGTATTTAATTATATAATAAACCTTGATTTTAAAAAAAAAATTACAAACCGGGGAGCAGGTTATATGCAGCTGTGCAACACAGGGAACAATATAACTATGTCAACAATTCAAACAACATACTTCATTTGCACTCTCATGCTCTTTAAAATATATTTTAAATTTTCTTTAAAAACAATTAATTTTCACTGAATAAAACAAAGAATGTTAACTATTTCACATTTAACTACAGCAATACTTCAGCAATAGTAAACGTTTCACAGAGTTGCTAGGTTCCTTAATCATTTGACTGTTCCAAAATTAAATCTAAATATGCAATTATACCTTCACATCAGTACCATCTGTAGGCATGAATTCCTCATAGATGTATGAACCAGTTTTTCTCACGTTGCTTTCAGGAGAGTAAACACTGCTTCTGCTACCAATCTGAAATACATTATTTCCATCAATGTTAATATATGCTAAAAATTACTCACAAACACATTTTTCCTTCTTAAAAATTCCTCTGAGGAGAGTAAATTGTATTTATAAAGATTTATAAAAACAAAATACAACATTCTTACCATACTATACCGTGACAGGGTAGGAAAATACCCTGGCTGCACGGACTGAAAAAAAATCTCTTCTAGGAAGGTTTCCTGAGATATATAAATTTATAAAAGAGAATATTTTTTTAATCTCTCCTTTTGAAAAAGATCACTGCCACTCTTCAATCCTAACTTAATTAATAAATTGAAAGAGATAATTATAAAATTGTTTGACTTTATCTTTGATTGAAGGCATTTTAAGTGGCTTAGCAATAGATATGAGAGCAGAGAGGTTATTTGGATAAAAGGCAGGATCTCAAATACTATTTGGTTTTTTTAGTAATCCTTTTATTGGATTGAAGGGTTGACCTTGGCTGATTCTTCCCACCAACAATCAACTCCCAGATGAGCACAGATTAACACCAAAATTGACATCAGACCACCAATCAAGCATTAAACAATACCACAAACAAGCTAACAGTAAACAGTCCAATAAAGAATCTCCAAAACCACTCCCACCAACACTGAGAGGAAAGGCCATGGAGTATAAAATGAGACTAAACCCTACCCCCTATTAGCATTGATGATGCTACTTGGTTTGGGTAATGAAACATCTGTAAGAAAACAATGAAGCTTAGAGCACCAATGACCCTGTCATTACAACCTTAAGTTATAAATATTCTCCTCTATCAGTATTATTGAATTGACTTTTAATGTCATTCTTCATTACATTCAATATAATAAATATTCTACTTTTTACCCTATTGTTAACATTATCCTTTATTTTTATTTCATTTTTGTGAATAAAACAATATCACTATTCTTAAAAAGAAACTCACTCTTTCCCCCCTCCCTTTTCAGCTCAGACTCAAGGAAACCCTGCTCCTTGGGAACTGTGAAACCTTAAAAACCATTTGGAAATGTTCAGATGAAGAAAAGAAATTGAGAATAGCATATTCTATATCATGAAGAGAGAATTTACTTAAAATTTATTTCTTCATCTTGAACCTGCTATGGGAGAAAGGTAAAAAAGCACTCATCAGGCTGATAGGAATACTATAATTCAGTAGTTCTCAACATTTTCTTCACAGACCCCCTTAAAAACCATATGTGACCACAGATCATGGCCAGGGACCACCAAAACTTAACTCAAGATTTAAACCATATTTCTTCAAGCCTTTACAGACCTCTGCGATGACATCAAAGCCCTCCAGGGGTCAGCAGACCACAGGTTGAGAATCAAGCTATAATTGATGTATTCCTAATCTTTATTTATATGGTGGGGAGGGGAATACATTCAATAAAATTTCTTTTTGCAGAAAGAAGGGCAGCAAAATGAAATCTAAATTAAGATGTAATCTAATCACTTGTTCACAGATCAAATCTACCTTGTGGTATTTAGCAGCCATTTTTTATATCCACTATTTCTGCTTCATTCTATCCCACCTCTAATTATGAAACCCAGATATACAAATTACCTGTAATTCTTCAGATAATGCAATCTGCAAGATAACTCTCAGAATGGAATGCTATTCAATCTAATTACCACTACCACCATCAGCACAGAATATTTACAAGAAGGAGCAAACTAGATTATTCTTGTGTAATTTACATTAGTCTTACTTTCCGAAAGAGCCTCTGACTTCCCCCACCGGCAGATGTTGGATAATAAATATATACATTGTGGTCCTCTGCACTAACTGGTTTTTCCACAAATGGCTTTTGGAAAACTTCCCCATTCACTTCCACATGATCTTCTCCTTCAATCAAATTGCATTCTGGAAAAAGAACATAAAAAAATGCAGATTTCAGGCTTCAATCACAGTCACAGATAAAAAAAATCATTATAAATTAAGACAAGACAACTGGCTATAATCTGTAAAGAATCTTCTAAAGAATATATGAACTTTAGCAATTTTGAAACTTAACTAAGCCAGGGATAAGCAAACCTTTTTTTTTTCTTATTGAGGCCTTACATAGGGATTTACAGAATATGTATATAGTTATAAATGTATGTACAGATTATCTTTTTACTCGGTTTCCCTAGTTATTATCATAAATCAATTTCCTAGTGCAAATAAATATTTCTTCCCAGCTTTAGAGTGTGCTATTATTATCACTATCATAAAAATCAAGCAAACAAACAGAAAAAGTAAGTGGGAAGTCACAAGGTAGAACAAATGGATACTGAAAGAGGCAGTTTGGGACAGAAATAGGACCATGATAATGCCTGGGAAGGAGAGGCAAATCAGAATTGCAGCAAGAGCAAAAGCAAAGCAGGGAGGTTGTGGAAGAAAATGGCAATAGGACTTGTTAAGCATTTATTGAATCTTAGCTGATTCTTCATATGCTATGATACAGTAACTCATTAAACCAGCCATAGCTCTTTTTTTCAGAATTTCAGAGAAGTCTGAAAAAAGATGTGGTTATTTTTCAGAGATGCTACAGTAGTTTTGCTGTGCAAATGAAAGCATCTTTTCAAAATAATTTCAAAAGCATGAATAGCTCTAGAAATGATGTCTAGTAGTAAATGGAATGGAAGAGCAAGATTAGGAAGATGATATTAAAAAGAGAAGGCAGAATCGTCTAAATTTCCTGCACTGCCAAATTTTATTTCACAAAGAACACATCTGGACAACAATCAGTGTGTCAAAATTTCTCTTTCCAGCAACAACATGGATACAACTATCTACTGACTACTTTTAGATTGCTATGTTATTTGAATACAGTAATAGCATTTTTGGCCACAAGCCAGAAAAAGAAAATCAGAAGAAGTCAGAGGTTCCTTCTCTTGTTACATTTAAAAGGAACACCAAGATTGAATGATATGACAACCTAAAAAAGCCCCATAATTTATGGTTTTCAGCTTCAGTGTTCATAAAAAAATAGGCTGTTGATAAAATGCAGTTGGCTTGTGACCAATAATGCAGCTGAGTGTTGTGGATAAAATGCACCTGATTGTAGCTACATTGCTTTATGTTCTTTGGGAAACAGTAATATTTTAACTGAGTCCCTCTTCCCCAGAACAAAAAGTAAGGCTATCTGCAAACATAAACAAACAAACAAAACATTAAGAGTGTTGAGGGCCAAAATAAACAAGTGCCTAAAAACAAAAACAAAATGGCAAATACGATCCGAACATATTATCTTTTCTGTACTTGACCTAGGTATTATAGGAAACTAAACATTGGAGGATATAAAAGGAGCAATGGAACCAATTTTTCCTAACTAAAGGAAAGTTTAGTCTATGGAAAAGAAGGATCAAAGAATATACCCATAAAATATGAATCATTTTAACAAAAGAATCTACTTCTAAAGTTTTCTGAAATAAAGAAACCATTGTACTGAAATGACAGATTGTTTAGCAAGTCTAGCAAAAGAAAATGAAATTAAATATTTTTATGAAGTAAATTCCTATAGAACTTTATTTTGAAGTTCCATTGGGTCCAGTGGATGGTTTAAAAAAAAACTATTACATAGTTTTCTGAGTTTAACCTTGTAACAAAGGCATCCATGTGATCTTCCACTCCCAATTCCTAGGTTGATTATAGCCACAAAAATAACATTTTATTAAACAGACAAGAACAACTGTTTGTAGATGAGTACTTTGAAATGCCAATATAATAATTACCTTGGGGATTATTTGGATCCCGGTTTAGGACTGCATAACGAGGAAGTAAAATGCCTTCATCTTTAAGGATGCCATAAACCTCTCTCCTGAAAAGAAATAATATATCCCACACAAAACACTGCAATTACTGGAAAAACATGAAAATAATTCCCAATTAAAATCACAGAATAGACAGACAATTTTGTGTAAAGTTGCAAAGCACATCTAATTAGAAAGTTACATTATTAAAAATGGCAGCTGGAACAAAATGTTGCATAGTGTAGAACATCTATTCCTAGACACAGTATACCTCTAATAAAGTTTTAAAGTAATATATGTGCCTATTTGCACAAGAGAAAGAAAACGTGATGGTGGGAATTAGAACAAAAACCTCTTCTTCCAAGTTACTGTGCATTTTGGTTCAGGACAATCAAATTAGAGGATAATTGTTCAACTGAATTTGAGCACTTATTTCTTCAGGTTAGCATTTCTGATGTCAAATTCTCACTGAAGATAATCGCTGCATTTTGTCTGCAACAGCTTGATGCTGATAGTAGGAATAATGCAGTGATATGGCTTTGTCAAGGGCATTCATATGAATGTGTACAATCAAAAGAAAAAAGAGGAGGAAATACTGAAGATCCTTGAGAAAGAAGAGTTTAATAAATAAACAGCAACATGTTAACAAAATATAAAGTAAACAAAACACATAACTTGAAAAATGAAAACTTGAAAATTAAACATTTTCAGATGTACTTTAAATAGAGGATATTCTTTGCAAATATAGTAACTAATGGTCCATCTTGATCATACTGGTACACTAGAAGTACACTTGCAGGTTTGCAGTTAACAAAATGCAAGGAAAATACCAAAACAGGAATTTACATCTAGGAGGCAACAGTTATCTATTTACCTGTCTTGTATATGATACTGCATATTCAAATCATTAATAACAAATGGATTCCTGAGTTTAGAATAGGCAACTGCTTTGTCCAATGGAAATCCTACACAAAATGTAGCAAAGAAAATGTATATTTATTTTTTACATAGTTCTTAAATGCATAAGAATTACATAGGAATTTCACAATTGATAAATTTTATACATTATTTTAAATTCCTTCATTTGTATGATCACTCAGGTTACAGTTTCATAGTTTCATCCATCCTATTTTAAAAGCTTTCCTCTTTATTTTGTTTACCCATTTTGTTCAACTGAAATATTAGGTATCCTATATCAGTTAACTATCAATTCAAATACAGCAGTTAAGTTAGCAATCTAGTATTTCATTAACATCTTTTTTAAGTCAAGAAGAAAATAACATTACAATCATTTACAATAAATTTCACTAAATTGGACTCATTTCTGACAAAAAAATGAGTGTGATTAAACATTAGTGTGATTAAGCATTCATTAGGATTCCAATACTTTTTAAATAACAAAATAATGGGGAAATTGAGAATAGCAGAAACATTAATTTAAAATAAATTTAAAGGAAGGCTCAAAAGGTTTTGTTATGCATGTTTCCATGCACTGTGTACTTCTTTCCAAAATTAGCATTAGCATAATTTGACATATATTGTTTCCAAGATTAAATGTTTTAACTGTTGTGTAAAGTGAACCAATGACACTATATATCATTGGAATAATGTGAATCAGTCCATACTGTATTTATATTGAAACATTTGACTCCATCTATTCTTGCATATCACTAGATAATCCCAATACATTAATCTTTAAATAGTTTAATATAAGAAAGATTTCAATAACACTATTCAATATCATTAAAAATATTCATAAAATTGTAACCAAATGTTTCACAGTGTGTAAAATTTTACATTCTTCTGAATAAACAGCAATCACCTTTAGAATGAAAAGAAATGAGACAATCACATAAAGGCCAGTTTTCTACCGGTTCATTCAAAATAACATCTTCTTCAAATATCACTACTGTGATGTATTTAAACATGGAAAGCCGTTCAAGGATTTCATTCATTGGTTTTGATTTTGATTTTTTTGCCATAGAACATATTCCAACCATGATTTGTCTTTCCGGTGGCTAAGAAAAATAATAATTGTTAAGATCAATTATGCTATCAATTAAGGGAATGTTTCTATCCTTGTTTGATAAACAAATTTCCTGGTTATATTATCAGATTCATTTATTAAAAATACAATATGAATTGGATATCAGTGCTTAATTCTGCATAAGGTACACAGTAACATTAAAGAAAAAATGCTTTAATACTACTTGCATAAAGAAAAAAACAATCATGCCCATTTCACAAGATTTAAAAGAATATATATAAATTTGAAGCTACCATTTGAAAGTGAAAACATCTTTCAGTGTATTAGGTTATTAAATTATAGAAAACACAATAGAACCATCTTTTAATGGGACTTGTAATGAGTTAAAATTCAGTTATGGTGAGAAGTATTGTTGAATAGTAGCTACATAGCTTGTATTTATAGATGCCAGTTGCACTATTCAACTCCACAAATGGAAGAGAAATCTCTGAAATACTTGCAACAGAAAGGAAATTATTTTTATGCAAAGTATTAGTAATGTTTTGATATTATAAGAGATTAATTTTAGATACTAGATTTTACTTTCCGTGACATAACCAAAAGTCTATTTAAAAAAAAACCTTAATTTAAAAAAAGTCTTCCAAACTCTGATGCATAAGTTACTTGAGCACATCACTAAAATCCCTAGATAACCCCAGATAATAAAGTCTAAGGACAAAACTATGGGAAGCTATATAAATGTTTTAAATAATAAAAATAAAATAAACACAATACATACAGAATCATATTCATCATCATCATCATCCTGATCATAGAAAGAGACAAAATCAGAAGCTCTGGAACAATCCAAAAATTCGTCTCCATCTTCATCGCCCACAAAAAATCTAGGAATGTCACTCTCTGTGGCATGAACAGACATTATTATAATTCCTAGTGATCTACATAGAAACTGTAGTTACTCCGAGTACTCAGGCACTGCACATAATTCCCAGTGCCTGTAATAGTAAAAATCCTTGCGGTCTGATTGCAGTTGCTTACGTAGTTGCTTGCTGTCTGATAGTCAGCTGCCAAAAGCAGTTTAACTGATATCATCTGCCCATTGTTTTTGTTACATTAGTGAAAAAGAATCCAGCAGATTATTTCCCTGAGATAAAGTAGAAACTTTCTATCCTAGAAAAGAAAGAAAGTTATTCAGCATATTCCATTACCAAGAGATAGTTGAAATAACATTTTGAAAATATTTACATTACTATAACTCCAAAAGCTATTCTGTATGTTATAATAAAAAAGTACTACATGAGGCAAATAAACATGTAAAGGAAGACTGGATTTATGTATCATATTAAACCACACTGTGATTTGTTTAGTTTCACTAATGTACTAACTCAGCCACAGTGCTTTATAAACCATGGTTTGGCACTTAGCATTATCTGAACCAGGTTAATCTGGTTTTTGTTTTTCAAACCACATTTAAAACAAATCCTGGCAGAGTGTGGAGTGGACAACCTATGGCTCTTGACTGAACAACAGGACAAATAAATGTTGCACAGAGTATTAGTTTTTTTGGTATTTTTTTCTGCCTCCCAGTATCAATCCAGATTTTTGCAATTCAGTTCTAACGGTCTTACTAAATAAAATGAGGAACTAATAAGTTTTAATAATGAAGCAATAGCTTAAATAGTTTAGATACATAATGCAAAGGCAAACATAGTTGGAGAAAATCTTACAACTTGGAAAAATTGAAATCATGTAAGAGACTGAAAAGGGAAAAGGTCACTTATATGAAGTCATTGTTGACACAATCAAGAGGTTACAAGAACTCAAAGAAGTTACTGACAGAAACTCATGGTGAAATGATGATGTAAAGAGTCAGGAAAAAAAATAAGTAAAAAGAAATGTGGGAATGGAAAAATGAAAGCAATGCACTTTTCCCACAGTAACGGACAAACATGCTTTATCTCAAATTTTCAAAACAGAATAAATAAATATATACATATACATATACATACATACATACATACATACATACATACATACAAACTTTTTTCTTATACTTTTTAATTTCATATATTCCATATATTATACCTTCCAGGTTTTAACTCACCACTCTTCATCAACAATTATTACAATGGAGAGTATCAGAATATATTATTAGCAAGCATAGCAAACATATTAAGATGATATGAGCCACGGTGGCACAGTGGTTAGAGTGCAGTACTACAGGCTACTTCTGCTGACTGCTGCCTGCGATTTGGCAGTTCAAATCTCACCAGGCTCAAAGTTGACTCAGCC